GCCCATCTGAAATTAGCCCGCCCAACTACCTCATCCCTATATTGTTATTTATTTTGCTAATTTGTACCCCAGTATCTCTATTTGCACATCATCTCTTGCACATCTATCATTCCAGTGTTAATACTATTTGTAATTATTTTGCACTATAGCCTATTTATTGCCTTACCTCCATAACTTGCTACATTTGCACAAACTGTATATATCTTCTGTTGTATTTTTTGACTTTTTGTTTTTTTACCCCATATGTAACTCTGTGTTGTTGTTTTTATCGCACTGCTTTGCTTTATCTTGGCCAGGTCGCAGTTGTAAATGAGAACGTGTTCTCAACTGGCTTACCTGGTTAAATAAAGGTGAAATAAAAAAATTATTTAAAAAAAAGTCAGTTGGACTCGTCTCTTTGGCTGATAATCGTGACGTACTTTCCATTTGACAGTCTATCTGTTCATGCTAACATTTTTATGTTTCGAATAAAGTGTTTTTAGGTGTGAGGTAGTTTGTTGATTAAGACGGCATGGAAGTATGAAAAATTACCAACCAAGCATATCTTAAATGTTTATAGAATTATCACAAAAAAAAGGAATACAGCAGTAGTCGGGTTATGAATAAAGTAGGCAATTTAAAATATATGAGTAACGCGAGTACCCTGTGGCTGTACCCTATTCGGAGGCATGTTCATGTTAAACCCTGCCTCGCTGTGTGAATCTATAGTAAAACAAATGTAGACTATAATTCTTGGCCAGATGGGGGCGGCATGTCCCAAGAGAAATTAACACTAATCCTGTAGTACGCAGATCCTTTCTAAAATGATGTATTTCTAGGCTCCTCACTGACAAGATAGTATAGTGTGATGTTTATAGTATTCTCTATTTTCCTCAATCATTACTCAGGGTTTCAAAGTGTTATCATGGTGAGGGAAGTCCATGCTTAGTACGTTGCCACCCTACAGTTAAACTTAAAGTGGCACTACAGTCTCCTTTTCAAGTAATTTAACAGCTGATTTACTTAACAGAAGGCACATCTCAATAGGTGGTCCAGGTAAGTCATGACATGGTACAAGTGGGAGGGTGGGCCTTTCCTCTTTTGTTCTCTATTTGCTCCTCTATTGGTCCTCAAGCAAGGTGGGAGGCTGATGACATCATACAAATCCCATCAGAACAACTCCTTGAATGCCTTGAAGTTTGCAGTTGTCTAAAACACACTATTTTGCTCAAAAACGTATTTGCTTGACCCTTTAGTGTGTGTACGTTACTGTATTTATAATTGGGATATCGCTTTTCAACAGTAAAAGTAAAACAATTGCTGGAGAATGTCTTCAAGGTTTGAAGTCCATGGACTTTCACACATCCAAATGAGTCCATACTACGTACAGTGTAGCAAAATGTAAACTTGGAGGGTGAGTGTTTCAACATTTCACAAATTACTATTTTTAGATCAAAAATATTTTACTTTTCCTAACTATGAAACTCCCTGAAAGTTGATTTCAATGGCCTAGAATTAGTTGCCCTTTCAGGAAGCGAGCAGGCAGTTTTTCACAATAGACTCTTATCTTTTAGATAAAGCGTACCTTGATACAATGTAAAGATGTCATCTGCCTGTAACATTGTTGAGGGAAAAAAGAACACACTGTTTTTATCACACACAAAATAGAGATCTGAATGTATTGTAAAAGTACTTACGGGAAACCGGGGCTAAAAGTAACACAGGGTCAGTTGTAACAGCTAAATGACTAAATTTAGAAACTACTTAGAAAGCTGTTTTTCAATGTGCTAATGATTGGTTAGTGTCTACATACCTGAGAAGTTTTAGGTGTACACATGAATAATTTTTTTGTTTTCTAATTTTATTTAAAAATTTTAGGCCTTAAGTGAATATTCTCCATATACACTACCAGTCAAAAGTTTGGACACACCTACTCATTGAAGGGTTTTTCTTTATTTTTACTATTTTTTACATTGTAGAATAATAGTGAAGACATATTCAAGTCCATATTATGGCATGAACAGCTCAAATAAGCAAAGAGAAACAACAGTCCATCATTACTTTATGACATGAAGGTCAGTCAATACGGAACATTTCAAGAACTTTGAAAGTTTCTTCAAGTGCAGTCGCAAAAACCACCAAGCACTATGATGAAACTGGCTCTGATGAGGACCGCCACAGGAATGTAAGACCCAGAATGATCTCTGCTGTAGAGGATAAGTTCATTAGAGTTACCAGCCTCAGACATTGCAGCCCAAATAAATGCTTCACAGAGTTCAAGTAACAGACACATCTCAACATCAACTGTTCAAAGGAGACTGTGTGAATCAGGCCTTCATGGTTGAATTGCTGCAAAGAAACCACTATTAAAGGACACCAATAATAAGAAGAGACTGTGTCCTTTGGTCTGGAGTCCAAATGTGAGATCTTTGGTTCCAACTGCCGTGGCTTTGTGAGACGCTGTATGGGTGAACGGATGATCTCCGCATGTGTATTTCCCACCAAGGAGGATGTGTTATGGTGGGGGGTGCTTTGCTGGTGACACTGTGATTTATTTAGAATTCAAGGCACATTTAACCAGCATGGCTACCACAGCATTCTGCAGCGATATACCATCCCATCTGGTTTGGGCTTAGTGGGGCTATCATTTGTTTTTCTGTAACCCAATTGAGATGGTTTGGGATGAGTCGGACAGCAGAGTGAAGGAAAAGCAGCCAACAAGTGCTCAGCATATGTGGGAACTCCTTCATGACTGTTGGAAAAGCATTCCAGGTGAAGCTGGTTGAGAGAATTTCAAGAGTGTGCAAAGCTGTGATCAAGGCAAAGGGTGGCTACTTTGAAGAATCTCAAATATAAAATATATTTTGATTTGTTTAACACTTTTTTGGTTACTACATGATTCCATATGTGTTATTTCATAGTTTTGATGTCTTTACTATTATTCTACAATGTAGAAAATAGTAAAAATAAAGAAAAACCCTGGAATTAGTAAGTGTGTCCAAACTTTTGACTGGTACTGTATATTTATATATCATTTTTTATCAGTAAGAAGAGGTCTTTTGATTGGTATAGTTGATGACAATAATTATTGCTCAGATTAGACTCAAATTAGTAATTGGGGTCAGTTGTAACGCATGTTACAATTTACCCCTTACCTAAAGTGTATGGTATTTTATATAGTATTTAGAAACATTTACATAATTATATAAAATTGTACTTCTTTACATCAAGTTTCCCAGTACCACTAAGACAATACCTTTAGAAACATAAAAAAGGCAAATTCATACTTTTTAATACTAAAAGTATCTTGTATAAAATAAAAACATTTAGGCTACTCCGTTTTTGTATTTTCATCCAAATAACAGTTTCAAATCATAACATTTTTCATAAAGGCAACAGTAAACATGTCATCCCCCACGAATGACGCAGCACCCCCTATTGAGCCAATTAGTGACAATTATTCAAACTTATGTTGCATGGATTAATGAGAGAGAGAGAGAGAGTAACAATCAAGTATTTTTTCCCTCACTGTTACTATAGAGCCCCCCTTGGGTCAATCAGTGTAATTTTGTAAATGCCGGATGTTGATGGCAAGACGTAGCTTCACCCAAGTTTGGTCAAAATCTTGAAAACAGGGCAGGAGATATACTTGTTCAGAGTTTGGTGGGGGACAAAAAGTCTAATTTGCAGAAAATCTATGTGTGGAGTTTATAGGTGGGAAAGTTGTTGCTCATGATGGGCTGCATATATATGTCATGACTGTAGATCAAACGGGACAGGAGATATGCTTGTTCAAAGTGTGGAATTTCAGTTGATTACTATAGCGCCCCCATTGGCCCGATTTGGACAAAACTTGGGTGAATGATGTGTCTTGTCATCGAGATCCCCCAACAGCAACTGCTCCCCAGGCGCTGATGACGCCGATTAAGACAGCCCCCCCACACCTCTCTGATTCAGGTTAATTGCGGAAGACACATTTCAGTTGAATGCATTCAGTTGTGCAACTGACTAGATATCCCTTTACTAATGTACGGATGGAGACAGATCCATAGTCCCCCTCTCGGTTTCATCGTGGGGGACAATTAACCATTGTTTTTACCATTGAAGACAGTGTTACATTTAATCCTGCAGGCTGTTACATTTAACCCCATCCACAGGGTCAATTGTAACACTTCACCTCCACCACTCTTGGTTTAATTGTAAATGACTGGTATGTCCTAGAAACATAGTTACAGTGTGTAATGGTAACTGAGACATGTTTGTTGTTTGTATAAATGTTTTATTTATCTACCTCAAACAATCCTTTCATAAATAAGCAAAAGGCAAAATGTGTTACTTTTAGCCCATGTCTCCCCTCCTTAGGCTCATCATTCCTTTGGGATTATAGGCCATTGATGACACTTCTCCATCACACCCTGTTCAGGGCTGTCTTCTCCAACTCATTGCACCCCATTCCAGTTTTCCTTGTATCTATAATATTAAAAGTATTTTAACTCAAACCATTAAGGACATGGGGACTATCAATCCTATATTTCAAGTACTGTAGGTAAGAGGAGGATTATGAAACATATTTACTGTAAATTACAAAATATTTAGCACTTACTGTAATATGCAATTACATCAATGTATTGACCTTTATACCTAATGTTTCAACAAACTTGCAACAGCAAGGACTGTTCTGTACTTTCTGGGTAGTGCGCAATCTAGTTACTCATTAACTGCTGACAGGGACATCATCATTTCATCACTGCATGATTAGATCTGTCCATGTACGGTACAAAATGTTTACATTCTATTCTTTCCAAATGTTTATACATTTTTGGCTACAGTACTAAACATAGCTGAGTGTTGTAAAAGAAAGTGACTAAAACAGTCTAAACACCAAAGTCTATAGTGGTTCCCTCAGTCTGTAAAAGTGATTTAGAATATGCTTAGGGAAGGGGAGGAGCATGGCTATCCTAAGCACAAAGGAATTCGAGCTGTGGCGCAGATGTGCTCAGTGAGAACGTAGAGGAAAGAACATGGGCTTTTTGCTGCCAATCCTTCTGGCTCTGCTAGCCTCTGTGCTGGGAGGATTCTACTTCCTGGGGGCCTTCAGGCAGCGTCGACCCGGAGAACCCCCACTGGACCGGGGCCCCATCCCCTGGCTGGGCCACGTCCTGGAGTTCCGTAGGGACACAGCAATGTTTCTGGAGAGGATGAAGAGGAAGCATGGGGATATCTTCACCATACAGCTGGGAGGATTCTATTTCACATTCCTCATGGACCCTCTGTCCTTCGGGATGGTCGTGAAGGAGGCTCGCGCCAAGCTGGACTTCACCAAGTTCGCACAGCAGCTGGTGCAGAAAGTGTTTGGTTACCACTCCATGGAGAACGACCACAAGTTTCTGCAGATGTCCAGCAACAAGCACCTGATGGGGGATGGTTTAGTGGTAATGACACAGGCCATGATGAGCAACCTACAGAATCTAATGCTGCACAGTGTAGGGACAGAGCATGATAACAATAAGACCTGGAATGAGGATGGCCTGTTCAACTACAGCTACAACATTGTCTTCAGGGCAGGCTACCTGGCTCTGTTCGGTAACGAGACACCCAAATCCACGGGGAGCCTGGAGAAAGCCAAAGAGGTCGACAGAGAAGAGTCCCAGGAGCTCTTCCGTGAGTTCCGTAAGTACGACCAGCTCTTCCCCAATCTGGCCTATGGGGTCCTGCCTCCGGGGGAGAAGAGGGAGGCAGAGAGGCTGAAGAGGCTGTTCTGGAACATGCTGTCAGTGCAGAAGGTGAGGACCAAGGAGAACATCAGTGGCTGGGTGCGCGAGCAGCAGCAGGTGAGGGAGGAGCATGGCATGGAGGACTTCATGCAGGACAGGTACATGTTCCTTCTCCTCTGGGCCTCCCAGGGGAACACCGGCCCTGCTGCCTTCTGGCTCCTCCTTTACCTCATGAAGCACCCAGAGGCCATGAAGGCTGTGCAGGGGGAGGTGGAGGAGGTGCTGAAGGAGACGGATCAGGAGGTGAAGCACGGTGGACCCCTAGTTGACCTGACCCGGGACATGCTGCTGAAGACGCCCATCCTGGACAGCGCCGTGGAAGAGACCCTCCGCCTCACCGCTGCCCCCGTCCTCATCAGGGCCGTGCTCCAGGACATGTCCTTCAAAATGGCTGACGGAAATGAGTACCGCATCAGGGAGGGAGATAGGGTGGCCCTCTTCCCTTACACCGCTGTTCATATTGACCCAGAGGTCCACCCCGACCCACTCACCTTTAAGTACGACCGCTTCCTGACCCCAGAGGGGGGTAAAAAAACAGATTTTTACAAAGGTGGGAAGAAGTTGAAGTACTACAACATGCCGTGGGGTGCTGGGATCACCATGTGCCCTGGGCGCTTCTTTGCCACCAACGAGCTGAAGCAGTTTGTCTTCCTCATGCTCACGTACTTTGACTTTGAGCTCAAAAACCCAGATGAAAAGATACCTGATATTGACATCAAGCGCTGGGGCTTTGGGTCCATGCAGCCAACCAAAGACATCCAGTTTAGATACAGACTCAGGTTTTAAAACTGAGACACAAACCAGCCTTTAGCAATGCTTTGAATGTAAATGTAAATTTTATGAGCTGTTAATCTGATGTTGATTATTATAAACTAGCTTGTGCCTAAACATTACTTTATCTAGAGTACATAGTACAGCAAAAGGTGGTACAGTATTACAATACTGGATATAATTTTTGTATTTATTAGAGGAAAAACCATCAACTTTCTAAAAAAAATGAAATATCTGGAAGGATTAGTTTTGAGTCAGCTGGAAAGCAGACACAAAATTGAAAGCTGACATGAGCAGAAAAAATTAATACTGTAAAGCTGGTTTGCAGATAGTATTAGAAACGCACAGATGTTCAAAACCAACTCCATGCAGGAGATGAGTTGACAATTATTTTAAGATACTGCTGTGTACTGTATTGCAGGGGCCCACCCACTGGAGAGCCAGGCCCAGCCAATCAGATTGAACAGAAATAGGGATCATAGCTTTCACCTGGATTCACCTGGTCAGTCTATGTCATGGAAAGAGCAGGTGTTCCTAATGTTTTGTACACTCAGTGTATGTCACAGTGCTTCTATGGCTATATACACCATGCCACTGCCTATTTCATTTGTTCATTTAGCAAACAAGACAGCTCATAATCCAGTGCCTTTATCACAGTCAACACACTTATATTTCAGCTTTAATTAGCTTTCAAAATGCAACATTTTCTCTCAGCCTCACGACAAAATGTGTAGAATTGCAGGACATTTGCTTTAAAACAGCAACATTTTCTCTCAGCCTCATGGCAAAATGTGTAGAACAGCACATTTTGGAATAGCACATAATTGGGGGCCCACTAAAATATTTGCAGGCCCACCCACCAACGAATTTCTGGCTACACCACTGCTGTATTGTTGCTTTAATTATATGTTTTGTCATGTTCATTAATAATCTGACCCTCAAGGACAGCCTATGATAGTGCCAAACAGTTGCAATATAAGAATCATTGCTCTTTGAATAACATTGTAATGTTAAGCATTAAATCTTTGTGTAAAAAAATATGCTTTTAAAGCCTTGATTGTCATACAATTCTTATTGTGTATATGAACTGTGGCCTTGGATGTATTGGCAGAGGTGAGGCTAATTGAGCAATGACCTGGGACTCTGGGAATCTGTATGGATCAATGCTATAGCCTAGGTTCCACAGATGTGCCCTGAGAAACGCTCAGGTGTACTGCGAAACTTGCCTCTAATGCATTGATAGAGACTGGCTGGGGTTATTTGGGGTTGAAGCATCCCAAAGATTCAACACATAGCTCCCCAACAGCTAAACTAGTAAGCTAGATAGAAGGAGGCTTTGTGGTATGCTAAGCTTACTGTGCACATGAAAGGGTGATGCATACTCCTACAAGTGTCCTAGGCCACCCAGTCGACACAAAGGGCAAATGTGGAAATCAGTCTAAGGTTACTAAAGTTGCTCCCATGGACTACTCAGGAAAAAAGTAGCTAGAATTACATAATTAGGAGGCCGTTAAAGCTGCAATATGTAACCTTTTGGGCGACCCAACCAAAGTCACATAGAAATGTGGGTTATAGATCAGTCATTCTCATTGAAAGCAAGTCAATGAACCGGTAGATCTGTTCTATGTGCTCTATTTCTATGCTTCCCGTTCTTAAGTGTTGTTTTTTGCGTCTTTTACTTTTGGTTTTGTACACCAGTTTCAAAAAGCTGAAAATACAATATTTTTGTCACATAAACTGAAATTAGGCAACCTATTAGAATTTTAGCAACCAGGAAATGGAGCGATTTCTGCATATTGCACCTTTAAGTCTAATCCATTCTGAACCACATAAACAGCTACTAGGCCTATTCAGTGAGATTTGTAGCTGTTTGAGCCTTCTAGGGCAAAGGTAAGTTGGACATTTGACTCCACAACACCTCCCTTTTGTGGCTGTGGGTGGGAATTAACTGGAAAAGAGAATGGAAAATCTAATTTCCTTGGAAAACAAAAAGAGGAACAAACTGCACTAATGTTCCACATCTGGATTTTCACGTTTTTGTTTTGATTTCCAGCTGATTCAATCTGAACTTTGAAGATTGCATCATACTCCACATCACACATAGTGAAACCAGAAATGGATGGGTTTCTGTCTGGTGGCAGGGTATATTCTCACTTTAGTTTAACATTATGGCCTTTAATAATAATAACAAAACATCAAGGTTCAAATTCAGATTGAATTCATCGTTGTTATAGAAACATATTTCTGAAAATAGACCAATATTAGCCTGGGATGGCTTCTAACAGACCCAACAACAGGTCAGTAATAGGGTTAGACTGAGCAGTCACCTTGCATTAGGCTTCTTATTAATGCTGGGCAGCCCAACATGGCAGGGAAATAAACCTAACTTCAGCCTCCATAGTGCTGCCTGCCTTGTGTTCAACAATATGGGCCATGATTCCTGAACACAGCATATAGTGTGATTGTACTGTAATGCCTGGGGCAAGATTATCATCAGTTACAACAGAGAATATTTACTCCCGTTCTTTCATTGGCAATTTTCAACTGAGGACTGGGAACTATTCCTGCTACTGAAGACCTGTTTATAACAGTAAACAGCTTGAATTTGTATTGTGCTAGCAATAATAATGCACAATATGATCAACTTTGAAGCTTGTTGTGCCCTTTGAAAGACACACATTGTCATTTATTCCAGTTGGATTACCTTTATTTTTGATAAATCCACACTATGACATTTTCCATAGTTTAATCTTTGTCTAAACAATAAGCGACAAAAAGGTTCCATTAGTCTGTATTCTACCTTTGATAAGGCATACATTTGATTTAATATTAACAGATTGTCTTATGGCCAAAGTACTTTTATTTTTTTATTTTTAACCTTTATTTAACCAGGTATAAGCCAGTTGAGAACAAGTTCTCATTTACAACTGCGACCAGGCCAAGATCAAGCAAAGCAGTGCGATAAAAACAACAACACAGAGTTACATATGGGGTAAACAAAACAAAGTCAAAAATACAACAGAAAATATAAATGCAGTGTGTTCAAATGTAGCAAGTTATGGAGGTAAGGTAATAAATAGGCCAGTGCAAAATAGTTACAATTTCGTATAATACTGGAATGATAGATGTGCAAAAGATGATGTGCAAATAGAGATACTGGGGTGCAAATTAGCAAAATAAATAACAAAATGGGGATGAGGTAGTTGGGTGGGCTAATTTCAGAAAGGCTATGTACAGGTGCAGTGATCGGTAAGCTGCTCTGACAACTGACGCTTAAAGTTAGTGATGGAGATAAGAGTCTCCAGCTTCAGAGATTTTCGCAGTTCGTTCCAGTCATTGACAGCAGAGAACTGGAAGGAATGGCGGCCAAAGGAGGTGTTGGCTTTGGGAATGACCAGTGAGATATACCTGCTGGAGCGCAGACTACGGGTGGGTGTTGCTATGGTGACCAGTGAGCTAAGATAAGACAGGGATTTGCCTAGCAGTGATTTATAGATGACCTGGAGCCAGTGGGTTTGGCGACGAATATGTAGTGAGGGCCAGCCAACAAGAGTGTACAGGTCACAATGGTGGGTAGTATATGGGGCTTTGGTGACAAAACGGATGGCACTGTGATAGACTACATCCAATTTGCTGAGTAGGGTGTTGGAGGCTATTTTGTAAATGACATCGCCGAAGTCAAGGATCGGTAGGATAGTTCGTTTTACGAGAGCATGTGTTGTTTATAAAGAATAATGCTAATCTTTGCTGTGAGACCAAGGAGTCCGCTTACACTGTACTTTGATTATAAAGGTTTATTTATATCACAAGATTTCAGCATAAGTTTACAGACATCTGCAGGCATCTGGAGAACAGCGACCCAAAATAATATGTTGTTCTGACCTCCTTTGTCTCAACCAAGTATTTATCATCTTTACCATGATATGGGTGTTTTCCCATACAGACCAATCCCATGACTCCACACAACAGACTTCCTCTGTTTTATGGGGTGCCCCTATAAAACTGCTCCCCAGATGCTTCCCTAAGCTGAATCAACATCCTCCAAGATACCATTTGAAAACGTTAGCAAAGTCATAAATTCCTGATACCACACATGTTTGGCAGCATGAGTGAAGGAGGCTTTGTTGCGAAATAGGAAGCCAATTCTAGATCTAACTTTTGATTGGAGATGCTTAATGTGAGTCTGGAAGGAGAGTTTACAGTCTAACCAGACACCTAGGTATTTGTAGTTGTCCACATACTCTAGGTCAGACCCGCCAAGAGTAGTGATTCTAGTCGGGTGGGCGGGTGCAAGCAGCGTTCGGTTGAAGAGCATGCATTTAGTTTTACTAGTGTTTAAGAGCAGTTGGAGGCTACGGAAGGAGTGTTGTATGGCATTGAAGCTCGTTTGGAGGTTGCATTATGCACTAGTGTTAAGTTTATCATGTACATTAATAATTATAGAAAATGTAGAAACTGTACATTGGAAAGAAAGAGGAAAATTACTGTTCATATAATTGAAATAGGACTTCTTCATTTGTATTTGACAATGGGTGTAAATTCACCTTTTATATTTCTCCACATTAATAAACATTAAGACATAATTTTACTGTACATATTTAGAGAAGCGTCAGTTGTCAGAGCAGCTTACCGATCACTGCACCTGTACACAGCCCATCTGAAATTAGCCCACCCAAATACCTCATCCCCATATTGTTATTTATTTTGCTAATTTGCACCCCAGTATCTCTATTTGCACATCATCTTTTGCACATCTATCATTCCAGTGTTAATACGAAATTGTAACTATTTTGCACTATGGCCTATTTATTGCCTTACCTCCATAACTTACTACATTCGCACACACTGTATATATATTTTCTGTTGTGTTATTGACTGTATGTTATGTTTATGTTTTGTTTACCCCATATGTAACTATGTGTTGTTGTTTTTATCGCACTGCTTTGCTTTATCTTGGCCAGGTCGCAGTTGTAAATGAGAACTTGTTCTCAACTGGCTTACCTGGTTTAATAAAG